AGAATCCAACCTGAGATCCGTAATTCAAAACTGTGTGCACATCAACATTTCCAACCATGCGTATGCGTGGGCAAAAGTAGTACTTGTTAAGACCCAAAAAGGTGTAGATTCGTAGCTGGAGTGACACCTGTGCAGAAAATACCCATGTACCCTACTGCTCCACATTGCAGAGATACCTACAAACTGCTAAAATTAAATACATGAACGGAATTAGGAAAATAAGTTGGCTTGCGAGCTGTCGCTGCTCCCTCATGTACTGTAATTAAGTTCCTTACCATTTTCTTTCACCCCATTAATCAGGATAGTTTCTTGGTCTTCTGAGGCACAATCCTGCTCTTGTTGGTCATCCATCAATTTAACCTCTTTCTGTTCACTCCATGCCCCACTGCATCTGGCCAACCTGCACATTTCCAGAAACACAACCACAGTCAGTACAAAATCCCAGAACCAGCTCAAGGAACCGTGAATAAAAAATAACAATGATTAAAGAAAAAAACCCAACACACCACCAGAAACCGCACAATTGTGCTGCTGAAGAGGACAAATACTGTTGATTTAGGCTATCGTATTTTCACGTTTCCACTCCGAAAGCCAAGTTCGATGCCGCGCATCCCCATTTCCTTCCCCAAAGACCTTCTCCAGAGGGTGGGACACTCTTCGCATCGCCCAAAACTGCTTTGCAAAGATGGCTGAATGGAGATATAAAGAGGAGAGGTCTCACCCCAATGGCTTGCCCGATCTCCCAGCTATTCCTCTAGTTTTCCAAGTGCTGGCAGGTACAAAAAACTGCCCCAAAAAGCAGTTTTGGGGTAAAAAGTATCGCTAGTCTCACTCTTCACTCAAAACATTTCATCATGAAGCCTCCTTTCTTGGAAGCTTGATGCCTACCACTGCCCACACCATCCCCGCCGGGTGAAGTTTCATCTTAGCTGGACGACCGCCAGTCGAGGCTGACCAGACTTGATGGTACTTCTCCGAGGCAACCAACCCGAGATCAGAATCAAGCCGAGATTTTCTCCCTTCCTCCACTGAAGACCTGATCCCTTCCTGGAAGCCTTCAAGGCCAGGTTGGACGGAGCTTTGAGCACCCTGGTCTGATGCGAGGTGTCCCTGCCCACGGCACAGGGGTTGGGACGAGATGACCTTTTCCAGCCCAAACCGTTCTACTAAAAAAAAACCAAACCAAAACTACACATAACCAAAAAAAAAGGTTGAGTGCCTAAGGAGAGGGAGGACCATGCAATGGAGAGATGCGGCTGAGTCCTCGGCCTCAGGAGGCACAGGACTCATCAACGCTCCTGACGGACACAATTTCACCTCTTTTGACTGCAAAATCAAGCCA